CTTATGTCATTGCCTCACTTCCGTTAGTGAATCAACACCTCCGTCCTACTGCTCACCAATCCCAGCCAACAGGCTTCTGTAGAACCAGCTCCTGAAGATGACTTTCAAATTGGTTTCCAGCGCCATGCTGCTGACCCAAAAGGGTTTTTCAATAGCAGGCCTGAGGGTACAAAAAAGGATCGAAGTGGTTGCTGTCAAGTTGGAACTGACTACAGCTGACCCTCCAGAGAGTTTTCCGAGGCTGTAAATCATGAGGAGGGGAGGAGATGGCCCCTCTTGCTCCCGTGTAGCGGCTGGTGGGTTCCACCTACTGGAGCGGCACCACCTTTGGGTTGGTTACCATCACAACGTTCAGCCTGTTCCATCACCAGTGCGCCCAGGGCGCACGCGTGTTCTGACACATGTGACACCTTCAGGTGTGTGTGTACGACACTCACTGGACACTCGCTATGTGCTCACCCATCCTTTCTGCCTTATCCAGGAAGAAGTCCAGGTGGTCATGGTGCAGTGACCCATGATCCGCTGGCAGTTCACTGGCTTAACTTGCTTTGGCAGGAAGACGGGGCCACTTGTAAAGATCGCAGCTGAAGAAATACTACAAAGCAGCGCCACCCCCCCCCCCATTGTCCCACAGGGTGGGTGTGAGTCAGCAGGGGATGTGGTGGTTGGTTGTTTTTGGTTTTTTGTGGTGGTGGTTTTTATTTTTATGTTTTAAAATACTTTCAGCCTTCATGGATGTTGCCAAATATTTCCCAAAGGGGTTGAGCCACTATGCACACCCACAAGGACCTGCTCTTAGAAATCTCTCTCAGTGCATTGAAGATGCAACATTTGCTTCACTTGCACAAATGGAGAGCCAGAATCCATGTGTGCATCTCTGTATTTCCGGCTGTGGAGGGTGATGACGCAGATGAACACAGTGGAGGTAAAACAGTGTGACTGGCTGCCTTCTGATTCTGAGTTGTGGTTATGCACTGTCGACTCAGAACTGATTCATGGCTGGCCCTCTGGTCAGCCTCTTGGGTTTTCAGAGGCGGTAAATCATATAGGAGGAGATTGTCCAATTTTTCTCTACAGAGTAGCTGGCACATTTGAACTGTGTACCTTTAGGTACACAGCTGATGTGCCATATGCGATCATGGTCACCCACTGTGGTGGACAGTGATTGGTGGAGCTCCCTGATTAAAACAAGCTTGGAAGCAGGAGTGGCATCCACTTTCAAAATGGCTTGCCTCCGGGAACTCTTATGAACAGTGCTCAGGGCTTCTGTTCATAGGGTCGCTATGAGTCGTCTACAACTCGATGGCAACTAACAACAACAAGAAGTAATTTAAAACATCATTTTTATGATGTCCTATTTGGAAGCAAGAATGGCATCCACTTCGTAAACGACATGCCTCCATAAACTCTATGAACTTTGATTAATGTGGGTGGTTGTAGAGGGTTTTCAGGCCTTCTATTCATAGGGCCACTATGAGTTATGCTCGACTCGAAGGCACTCAACAACAACAATGCATATGAAGATTACGCTTACACTGTACAGGAGTCTAATAAAGGATATGAGATAGTGTGCTGGCTTACATGTTGGGCTTCAAATAGTAAGGTCATCAGTTCAAATCCACCAGCTCCTCTGTGGGGGAAGATGAAACAGTCTGCTTCTGGAAATAGTCAAAGCCTTGGAGATGCCGGGGGCAGTCTGTCTTGTCTGGCTGTATTGAGTCACCAAGGACTCTGTGGCAGTGGTCCAGGCTTTGGTTTGCTAGTCTACTAAGTGTGCAAAGGCGTTACTGTTTGATAATGGGAAAATGAGAGAATGGGAAGAGTGACACGTGGGAATTGTAATCAAGACCATAAAACAGGGTATGTGTGAAGGGTTGGCTGGAATATCAATCTGCGCTGTAAACCTTCAATCAAGTTACAACAAAAGGTTTTCTTTTTTAAGAACAAATATTGTTCAAGTGTTAAAAAGCAGCTAGGTAATTTTACTCTAGAAGTAGGGCTGATTGTCAGAGACAATCTGAAAAAGGAAAAGTGTGAAATATGGTAAAGATCTCTAAAACGCGACACAGGCATGCAGTGTACATGTGCGTGGTAGGAAGACTGGCACCAGTAGGGTGGCCATACAGGTGTGTGCATGCAGGTGTGTCCACACAGGTGTGCCCTCATAGGTGTGACCACGCAGGTGTGTCCACACAGGTGTGACCACGCAGGTGTGTCCACATATGTGTACCCACGCAGATGTGTCCACACAGGTGTGCCCATGCAGATGTGCCCATGCAGGTGTGTCCACACAGGTGTGCCCATGCAGGTATATCCTCATAGGTGTGACCATGCAGGTGTGTCCATGCAGGTGTGTCCAAGCAGGTGTGTCTTCATAGGTGTGACCACGCAGGTGTGTGCACACAGGTGGGCACACAGGATGGTCACAAACCTTCCATTTCAAAACAGAAGGATAATTAGAAGAACATGTATGGGAAACCCGGGAGGCGGGGGTAAGGAGTGGGAGCGGAGGGGTGAGGATGGGTTGGGGTAAAACCACAGGGCTGCATGGTTTGGTGGGCGGAGGAGGGGGAAGGAAATGGGAAGGATCTGGTGAGAAGACAGGGGAATGATGGACAAGGTGCACTGGCGATTGACTTTATAAAATGTAATGCATGAGAATGGTTGTAGAAAACACAATAGGAATGAAGTATGGTGTGACACACAACGTATGTGAACTTTGTCAGCAAACCAATAACACAAAACCAAACAAAAAGCAGCAACTCCCTTCACACACACTGCCCCCCACACCCCTCAAACCACAGTCTCAAAGTTCAGTGAAGTGTGCCCGTACCACCTTCCATTTGCCCATTTACTTGGGTGGACACTGGCCTTGTTTCCCACCTCTCTGTCACTGTGACTAATCCTGCCATCAGCAACGGTGTGCCTTTCTCAACGACCTCATACGCCTTAGCTCCCGGCCTGTCTCCCCTCTCCCTCATCATGGAGTTTGCAGAACTGTGCTCAGTACCCAGCTGCTGTTGGGTGCTGCCCATTCGAGGTCGGTCCACCAGCTGCTCTGCAGAAGGAGAGTGGACAGCTGCCTCGCACACGATGAATCGCCTCTGAAAACCCGCTAGAGAGTCAGCTGGGCATTGGTTCTGTCTCAACAGCACACAACAACAACAGCAAAGCCACCCTGGGCACGGCAGATACGAACCCTGTCCTTCCCTCGCCGTCCTTACCAGCTCTGACATGCTCCCACCTCTCGGTAAGGTCACTGTGTCAAGCCATTACTGAGGAGGATCTTCCTCTTTCTCTGACCCTCTTCTGTCCCCAGCGTGGTACCTTTATAAGGATTTGATCCTCTTAACAACATCACCATCCTGGCCTGTAAGAAGCACCCTAGCTGCACTTTTTTTCCGGGACAGATTGGCCAACACTATTCAAAGGCATTTCTGGCCTTCCTTGTCCTTTACTCGATTTCACATGTGTTCAAAGCAACTGAAAACCAAGGTGGCATGCATCGGGGTGCTTCGGTTTATAAACTGACACCTTGCCCCTCTCCAAAGGCGTTCTTCTTGAAAAATTGTTATTCGAGTGTAAAAGTTTACGAATTGAGTTTCTTTCCCACCACACCATCCACACACATTTTATTTGATAGCATCAGTGACAGCACTCACCATGTACCCTCACTCTTCCAGCTTCTTCCCTGTAATTCTCACTTCCATTAACCCCTCCATCCTACCCCTTCCTGCTCTGAGGGCTTTGTCCCCAGGGAAAATGCTTCTTTCTTTGTTGCAGACCGAGGGTATTTTTATAATTATTAATAATGGGACAGACAGTCAGCACTGAGATAGAACAGAGAGGTAAAAACAGGGGCCCAGCAGTTCTCCACTGAAGGGCCTCATTCCATCTTCCTTGTATCTTTAATGAAAAGTATCAGGAAGTAAATCACAAAGAGAATTCAATGCAAACGAAGCAAAGCTCTTGCTATTGAAAACCTTCCCCTTGACTCAGGAGGGAGGGGTCAGCAAACACAATGCGAGAATCTGGTAAACCCTTAAGGATTTCGCTAGTGCCTCAGTGTGAACTCCAGCTTGTACCTGAAAAAGCATTCGGCTTATTACAAATTCGTATGGGTTTCCCATATTTCTTGATCTTAAATGGCTGCGTATTTTAAGGAGCAAATGCCTTCCAGGTGCCCATAGAGATAGGCATGTCTTGTTTGAAAGTTGGGCCATGGGGGTGAGTTTTGGTTCAGCTCTGAAGCCTGGCTAAAGACCACAGTCTCTGGGTTCAGCCATTCTCTTTGGGACCAGGAAACCTTATTTAACTTTTCTTTTATTTCGCATTACACCCCTTCCCCATGGAGAGTCTCATTCCTGGTTTACTGCCCCTGAACGGTCAGCTCCCATTGGAGCCAGAGGGTCAGCTGAAAACCCACTGGAGGGTCAGCTGTGATGCAGCGTTGCCTTGATGACAATGACTTTGAGGACCTTCTACAGTGATCCGTGATCCATTTTTAGAATTTTCCGCAGTGATAGTCCGTCAGAGTCTCCTTCACCTGGTGTCAGGGTTGTGGACGTTGAGGTTCACGTGGGACCCTAGTTCTTTGCACTGGTTTTATTGAAGCACCTTTGACTTTGCTGATGGCCTTGTGGGTAAGGAGAAACACTGTCGACTCAAAGGCAGGCTGTTTGAATCCACCAGCTGCTCCCTGGGTGAGAAATGGGCAGTCCACCAGTAGGACTGACAGGTGCTGCAAACCTGCTGGAGGGTCACTTAGGAGTTATTCCCAGCTTGGCAGGACTTAACAACTACATTTCTGTTTCTGACAGGGAGAGATCAACAGTTTCACCCCTTGGCAGATGTTTGTTGAATGACCGTCAGTCCTCAGGTTCTGAACTCTGTGCCCAGGGAGCTGGTCAGGAACCTTGAACTGGAGGCAGCGGAGGCAGCGAGTGGCTTCCTGCTGACCCTGTCCCCAGCCTGTCCCAGCAGCTCCACTGCCTGCAGAAATGCAGAGTCTCAGGCCTGAGCAGCTCCGGGGGCTGCTGGAGCCCGAAAGAACCAAGACCTTGCTGCCCCGGGAGAGCCGGGCGTGGGAGAAGTCAGCGCACCCCACCTTCACCAGGGACTGGGAGGCTGTGGATGTCGGGGCCACCAGCTGTGACAGTGATGAGAAAGGTGAGGAGTCAGGGTGCCTGGGGGACAGGGAGACTCTCACTGTTCCTTCCTTCATTAATTCCACTGGTATCTGTCAGGCACCGGAGGAGGCCGAGTGGCACAGTGGTTCATGAGCCCAGCTGCTGACTGAAGGGTCAGTGGTTCAAACCCACTAGCCCTCCCGCTATCCTCTTCCAAAGCTGGGCCATCTCCTTGCATGAAGATTTGCAGCCTCTGTAATCTAACGGACGGTCACCTTGAGCTGAAGAACCGAACCTACAACAGCAGGGTCGTTTGTTTTTTTTAGTTTTTATAGATAAGCCTAAACGTGTGGCATCAGGATTGGTGGGAAATCCATAAACAATCTGCGTTATGCAGATGACACAACCCTGCTTGCTGAAAGTGAGGAGGACCTGAAGTGCTTGCTACAGAGGGTCAAGGACCGCAGCCTCCCATATGGATTGAGGCTCAATGTCAAGAAGACTAAGATTCTCACCACTGGACCAATTGGCAGCATAAGGATGGATGGTGAAGAGATTGAGATTGTTCAGAGCTTTAGTTTGCTTGGCTCCACAGTCAATACTCTTGGCATCAGTAGCCAGGAAATTAAAAGACGTATTGTGATGGGAAAGTCTGCTGTTAGGGACCCCTCCAGAGTACTGAAGAGCAATGGTGTCTCTCTCTGGAGACTAAGGTGCACCTGATCCAGGTCATGGTCTTTGCAATTACTTGCTATGCATCTGAGAGCTGGACAATGAGTAGGAATGACAGAAGAAGAATTGATGCTTTTGAGCTGTGGTGTTGAAGAAGAGGATTGAGTATCCCATGGGCGGCTGAAAGAACAGATATATTTTGGGGAAAACACAGCCAGAGTGCTCCTTGGAGGCAAAGATGATAACGCTTCATTCCACATACTTAGGGCATTGTGCTCAGAGAGGCTGTCCTTGGACAAGGACATCATGCTTGGAAAAGTAGTTGGTAAAAGAGAGGAAGACCAAGGTGGTTTGACTGAGGGGCTGCAGCAAAGGGCCCAAGTGTATCAGAGACGAGGAGGGCACAGGAGGGGACCAGGTTCAGATCTCTTGTTTATAGGGTCACTGTGAGTCATGCTCCCACTCCACGGCACCTAACAACACCACCCCCCAACACGTGGACATCTATCCCTAGTCCTCTATTCTAGTGGGAAAACTGAGAGTTGTCCTTTTGGGTTTGACTTTATTCACTCAGCACAACGTCCTTCAGCTTCATATTCATCAGGGGTGTGAGATGTTTCACGGAGTTGTTCCATTTAGTTCCATTGTTAAGTATGCACCATGTACCACATAGTCTATCCACCTTATCCACTGATCGACATGGAGGCTGTTTCTTTAAGCTCTTGTGAATGAACTCAAAGGTACAGAAAGATGTACACATTCTTAGACGGTTACGGGGGAGAGGAAGAGAGGGAAAGTGGCATACAAATGACCAAATAGAGCCTCTCCTCTCCTCTCCTCTCCTCTCCTCTCCTCTCCTCTCCTCTCCTCTCCTCTCCTCTCCTCTCCTCTCCTCTCCTCTCCTCTCTTCTTCTCTCCTTTCTCCTCCCCTCCCCTCCACTTCCTCCAATGTCTCTCTCTCTCTCCTCTCCTCTTTCCTCTCTCCTCTCTCCAATCTCTCTCCCTCCCTCTCCCCCCCCAATTGTTATTAAACCAGAACCGACTCCTAGCTGCCCCTCTGTAAAATGCACAGGAAGAGATTTCCCATCTTTCCCCTGTAGAGCTGCTGCTGGTAGATTTGAACCCCCTTTCGGTAACTAGTTCAGCTCCCTGCTGGCGACCCCACCGTTGATGCTGTTGTTAGGTGCCGTTGGGTCAACTTCGTTGATTATCCTTTGCCACCCTCCTCGTCTTTGATCCACTGCTGAGTCAGCCCATCCTGTTGAGGGTCTGCCTCTGTTTCACTGACCCTCCACCTTTCCCCAGCGTTGTGTCTTTTCCCAAGGACTGGCCAGCAAGGGCTTGTTCCTAATAACGTGCCCAACGTAGATGAGAACAGTTTTCACTATCTTGCCTCCAAGGAGCTTCCCTGGACTTTCTCCAAAACATATTTGCTTGTTCTCTTGGCAGGCCATGAACTATCCAGAACTCTTCTCCAGCACCGCAACTCCAAGGCATCGATTCTTCGGTCATCTTTATGCATTATTCAACTTTAGGATACATAGCAAGTAGTTGGGGGGGGGGGAACCCACAAAACCCCAACAACATAGCTGTTTTGTTTTGTTTTATTTTGTTTTTCAAATACCCGCAGGATTATTCAAAGTGGACAGATTCAGTGGAACCTTCAGATTAAGACAAAGTAAAAAGAAAAAAAAAATTGATTATCAACCCTACGTCTCTGTAAACGTTCATTAACATTAATAAAAATGAAAAAAATTGACTACCTACTTGTGAAATAATAGACCTTTAGAAATCCGATAAACAATTTGCCTGCTGTTTGCGGTTGTGCTGGAACCGACCCTAGCTGACTCTGCAGTGGGTTTTCAGCCACAGTAAGCCAACGCAGGAAGAGACTGACCATCCTTCTGCCAAGCAGCTGGTGGATTTGAACCGTGTGCCTTTAGGATCACAGCATCACTTCTTACCATTAGACCATGGGTGAAGTCAAGGGCAGTATACAGCAAGGAGATGGTCAGCACAGCATGACTAAAAAAGCAGAAGGTGCAGGGAGCTATAGGAAGATGCGTGGGAATAAGGACTACAGGGGGTACGTGGGGAAAGCGAGAATTCAGTGTGGATCTAGAAATTAACCCTAGAGAATAAAATGCATACGAATGGTTGAATGAAAAGTTTGTTTACTTTGTAGCTGTCACACAAATGACAATAAACTAGATAAAACCAAAATAGCTACGAATCACCATAAGATGGACCAGCATTCATGTCCAGCATTCTCTCAGCTTCATCTGAGCTGTGGGGACCAGAGTGGACTGGGGTAGGTGAGGATGCCGTGGGACAGATTCTGTGAGGCCAGGCGGGGTGGGCAGGGGTGCCGACGTCTCTGCTCTTGGCTGTGGACCCCACGGATCCCTTTCTCCTCGGCTCTCATCTCTACTCAGATCTGTCTTCTCCTGACACGGCGCTTTCCCAGGACTGGAGCTCCATGGATGAGGAAGACGAGTCTGAAGATTCTCAGGTAACTTGGGATGTCTTTCCTCCACTGTCAGGTGCTCCACCCTGAAGCACGCAGGAGGCCATCACATTTCATTCTTCTTGTTATGTGCCGTCGATTTGCTTGCAACTCATAGCCATCATAAGTACCATAGCTCTGAACCCTGCTCTATCCTGAGCCAACCTTATCATCTCTGACACACCTACTCCATTACCCCAGTCACAATCAATCCACCTCATCGAGGGTCTTCCTCTCCTGTGCTGTCCCTCCACCCTCCCAAGCATGACGTCCCTCTCCAAGGACTGGCCCCTCCTTGCAACGTGCCCACAGTATGTTCGATGAAGCTTCAGAATCCTTGCCTCCAAGGAGCAGCCCTGCTTCACCCTCTTTAGGTTCAACTTGTTTGTTCTCCTAGCAGTCCATGGTATATTCAACACTCCTCTCCAGCACCACAGCTCAAAGGCATCAACTCTCCTTCTAGCTTGAGATTTCCCTGTCCCATAAATCATCAAATCAGGGACATGAGCCCCAGGTGGGGCATGGACAGCTTCCTAGGGTACCCACACTTGGAAAGGAGAGAGAGTCTCCATGTGATTCGTATCATGCCAGCCTGGGGTGTGAGTGCTGAGAGGAAGAGAGGGATTAGAGATGCTGTCATGAGAGAAAGAGGGAGCTGATGGGAGGGCAATCTCGGGAGCAGGGAACCTGGTGAGGAGCAGATATTAGGATATCAGGGAGCCCTGCCGGAGCAACGGGTAAATGGCTGGCTGCGAACTGAGAGGTTGCCAGTTCCAAGCCATCAGCCTCGTTAAGAGCAAAGACTAGACCTCAGGCTCCTGTAGAGAAAGACTTGTGGTGGTGGTGGGTGCCATCACGTCTGTCCCAACCACAGTGACCCTGTGTACATGAGGGTCCTTCACATTCTCACAGGACACAGCTGGTCCTCCCCATCCTCACAGGACACTGCCCTTCACATTCTCACAGGACACTGCTCTATCTTCCATGTCCTCACAGGACTTCACCTGGTCCTCCTCATTGACTTTGTTTTTTTAAAATGTTTTAATTTTTATTTTATTGGGAAAACATATTAGGGGTACAAGGAGGCGAGGGTTGGGGGCAGAAGGGTGAGGATGGGCAGGGATGCAGTTGCAGAGCTGCAGAAGTTGGTTGGTGGGGGGAGCAGGTGAAGGAAATGAAAAGGATCCAGTGGGGACCAGATGCTACAGGGTAATGATAAGCATTTTCCAGTAGTATTTAAACCAACTGACTTATTGATTTGGGAACTGGATGCAGACTCTCTGGCTTCTTCATGCTGAACAGGGGCGTTGATGTGAAGGGGGAAAGGGAGGACACTTTATCACCTTACTGGTGGTCATGGGTTAAGGCTGCTTGTCTTCTTGCTCTGTTAGAAGATATTTTCCTGTCATTTGCTCCCCTCTGGACTGCAAAGTGTTTTCCCAGGTGGGTCCAGTGGG